AAATTAAGGTTGCCAAGAGGATTTTTCGGGATTTTTAAGGTTATAGAAGATGATGTCATATTACATGAGCAAGAAAAAGAGAGTAGTAGCTGTGAAAAGTGAAGAAAATGGGTGAATTTCGTGCAAAATGGAGGTTTTCAGCTAATTACATACGTCAAATGACGTCAGATAAAGTTGGTAGATGGCTCATTCAACGCAGAAGAGTGGATTACATAATGTACAATCTTTAAATCATTAGTAACGGAGGTGTATGTAAAAAGTTATAAGGCCAATAAGAAATTGGTGTGAATCTCGAATTTACAGTCACAAGTCAACATGTAACACCAAAAACCTTAACTTCACAACTCAATATCTTACTCATCACTCATCAGAAGTAGGTCATGTAGGTGTTAGAAATGATCAGTAACACGTGGGCTACAAGATGCACTTTAGTAATCAAAAATTGGAGCACATCTGAAAAAATTCGTAATCTCAAAAATTGGTTTTCAGCTAGTTTACAAGGAAAAAATCATCTGTATTCATCATAAGAAGTGCTGTACATCATATTATTGCGTCATTGATCACTTTTGGCTGTGAAAATTACATCATACATTAGTAACAAGATCATTACATTGCGTCATTACATGGTTTTTAGGGTTATTTAGGCGGATTTGATTGGTTTTTGAAGCTGTTGACTGTTTTAAAAGTTGTTACATGTGGATATAAGTACTCCTGCATGATTTTAGGATTGTAGCGCCCTTTTCTGCATTTTATACCTTTGTTGTAGTGTTATAAATCATCATTTATTTACTATATTTGTACTAAGATCACTTAAATCCGCCCCTTCAAAGCAAGGAGAAATTTATTTACGTGTGTTAAAGACTACAAGTCAAATTTGGGAATAATACTTACAACAGTATTGCTAGTAATAAACATAGTGTGTGACTTTTTTTGCGCTTAAAATCTGGGAATAATACTTACAACAGTATTGCTTTATGTTCTCTGGTGCTTTATCTATTTCTCTGTTATCACAAAGTGGTCAGCAAGTGCCCTTGTGCTGATTTCTTTGAAGAAGGCAGTCTTTAGGCAACTTCTACTATATTACACGTAGTAGATTATCCCTTCTTAGGTGTTGTAAAGCTCTTGTTGAGCTTTAAATACTACAACGTCCACCACCCAAGAGATCTACAACCTCCCACAAACCAAGTTACAAACGACGCAGTGGCAAAGAATCTTTCACTGCTGCCGAGCGAGCAATGGACGACTCAGAAGACAACGATGATTATCAACCGGACCTGCGACTTGAAGAACAAGATTCAGAGGACAACTCAAGAAACCCTGTTGACTTATCTACATCTAGCCAACATCCTCCAACCAACAACTCAAGTCGACCTGATTGTTCAACAAACACTAATTCAAACACAAGCCCACAACCAACTGGCACAGCTTCAACTCGCAATCCAAATCACACACAACTAACCCTTCATAACTATTCCACTGTTGGTAAAGAGCTTGGACGGCCTGCCCTTGAGAGGATGTTGAATGATCCAAAAAGAAAAACTCAAAATCGACCCCCATCAGCTATCTTAGGCGAGGCTCAGGCACTTCAGGGTTACTACACGATGGACAAGATGAGCCTATCTTTGGTTGGCAACACCAGCCTCGCAACTCTGGAATCTGCACTGTCAGCTTTGTTCCTTCTGGTAGCTATTTGTCACCGTCTTTTAACCATTATTGTATCTTCACAGATTCGAAGGCCTTATATCACGCGACCGCAATGGCTACACCACATGGATGAGCTACAGCTTGGCCAACACGGTGCAAATCTCAAGTAAGTGTGTATCATATCACAACATAGCCTAATACTAATGCACTTCTAATTTCAGTGCCTGCAGGGGGACAATCCGACGGCTTTGCCGAACATAATCAAAACTGTCGTAAATGGACAGAACTGACAGAGACTGAGTCAGAGACGTTTCAGCCAAAACTTTTTGAAAAGCTGGCCTACGCGCATTTCACAAACATCGCCACACCGGTTTCCGAAGAAGAACGTGCAACGGATCAAGAGATAACCCAGTATATGCACCATTTCACCCGTCTTGCTAATCTCGATAAGGTATCCAAATATCTCCAAAGTGGGGTACTGGGTCAGACAATAGCAAAATCTCTTGCTGTTATCGAAAAGAGGGGTCGCAAAGAGATTGGAAAGGTAGCCACCCAGGTAAGCAGCCTTTCCAAAACCTTTTTGCCATGAAAAGTCAAAGCCACTTACATATGACTCCAAATTTCATGTAGCTCCAAAGTATCTTCAAAAGATTTGGCATTCATTCGCACCTTCTGGTAGCCAGCTGGAATCCAAAGACCAAGCTCGAAAACCCTATGTGGAATCCAGAATATACTACGAGCCCTCGATGGGCTGAATACACCAAGAGAACTCATCACCTTGCTAGAGACTTTGCCATTGGGTCCACTGCAGCCCAAATCAAGTTCACTGAAACCCAAAAATCCACTAATCAAAACAACAAAACACCTCAAGTCACAATGAGGACAAAGCTCACCAACTTGCTGAATAACGAGATAAGTAAGTGATATTCCATAACTTAGTCCTCAAACTCATCTTTCATCCAACTGACTCATTTTGTTTAGGGAAGAATTTGCCGCATACGCCTCAGGGACCAAAGCACGACGTCTATCCAAAGACCCCCAACCCACACAAAACTATAGCAGGCCGGTGTTACCAAGGCGTTCAGTTGGCCGTCCGTCAAGCCACTGACTTGCAGGTGACTCAGGAGATGCTTACTCTAGGAGCCAAAGGCGGACGTCTGACCGACAAACAGGTCAAAACCTGGAGTGAAGATATTGAAGAAGGAAGGTATTCCATACACGTGGCAACTGCAACCACAACTGCAACAAACGGCTAAGTTACAATTTTACAACTGCAAGATTTCATGACCTAGAACACTTAACCACTTAGCTTTCCTTACCATGGTTATCATAAAACATGTCCAACCAAATCAATTGCTATTATTGGTTTGGGTCTTGTTTTTACAATGTGTGTGTTACTACCTCTTTGTTGTAGGCTAATCATTATTTATGATTATTGCTAGTCGCAGTCAAGATCTCTCTCCAAACCAATTATTACACATGTTACCTTTGTGAACACCCAAAATTGTCCAAGTGAGGATTTCTCTAAGTGTGGGGTGACTTTCTCTCAACCAACGCAAAATTTCAATGCACAAAAATTACAAATTCATTAAATTTCATATCAAGGTCTATGTTGTCATGAACATTTGTAATGGGTTAGAAAACCATCAGCTCACACCAAGCCCGTTTCCTGTTGATGCGTCGACGCGAGCAAACCAGGTTTTCTTGATCAATTTATGATTCATCCAGGTTTCTTCATAGCTCAGCTGTTGATTTGTCCCTTTCATCATGTTTGAGCTTTGTTCAGAGGGACTTTTAACACTCTCAGTGGGGTTTATCCCGATGTATTATCCTTTTACAAATGGTCTTTAGATAATTTGCTTGTACTCCTTTGATGAAAGGTTCTTTTGAATCGCTCAATCGCAAATCACAAAGAATCTACAATCAAGCACCTTACATGATATGTGATTCATGCGAGCGACTACTTCAGTCCTCTTAGATTTTATCGTTACTGCCAAATATCCTTAGATTGATCTGAGCAAATCCAAAATGGGTGAGTGAAACTTTCCTTGTCCACCAGCCTATTGCTTGGATTTTAACGCAATCTATTGTTCTCTCCAAGCCGGAGGATTGAAGCCATCGAACAATTGGAAGAAGGGAGTTCCAGTTAGATCGCTGAAGGAATCAAATGCCTCAGTTGCCCAGACTCTTCCAAAGGCCAATGCCAGGATCAGTCACTCGATTGCTGCATTCACAAGGCTTCTCCTGGGATTTACGAAGGAAAACCCAGTGTATCCAATGAAACCAAATCACGAAGAGCTTGGCCAATTACGTGCACCTAAACAATCCAACTTACTATCAGATCACCAAGTGTTTCAATCACAAACGGTTCCAACTGACGGCACGGCGGAAGATCTTGCCAAATTTAAAGAACTTTTTCTTCTTGATTTGAGTAATCACGGGGTTCTGTGATTTACATTCAATTGGGACAACTTAGATAGCAGCCTCTGGAATCGTACAATGGCCCTCTTTATAGTGAAACATTGGCTCTACGCAAAAAGTCAAGGCGCCTTCAAAAGAAAAGGTATTGATCCCACCTATGCCACTGTACCTATTTGCATTGGGCTAGTGCTCCGATGGATGCAAGGGCGTTCTCAAGAGATCCGTATTGGTCGCCGCAGGCCTGAAAAATTATTACTCAGAGAACGAGAGCGAAAAAAGAGACAGGTCAGTTTATGTACTTTTATCTATTGGTTTCAAACTGATACTGAATCTCTGTTTCTTTCATCAGTTATTTACTTATCGAAAAGAGACAGTGGATCGTCATCTATGTCCAGAAGCTTCAGATCTTCTTCCGAGCTCTGATTGTTGTTCCGACACTGAATGGGAACCCGATGCAATCCAACATCCTACTAAAGGATTGGTGTGGCGCAGCGTACAATACACAAGCCTTCTACATCAAATCGATCGTGTTTCTTTCAAATACAAGTCGGAGACAAGTACCCTTCTTTTGGCAAGTCAAAGATTTGATCAATGCCGACTTGAAGCAGCATCGGTCAATCCCGCCGCTGCTGTGTGTCGTGGTTTGCCATCAAACTGTTATGATCCTCTCTTTATCTCTGCCTTGACTGATGAACAGAGAGACTCATTGGATATGAAGGCTCCATCATCACTTTTGGCTTCTCTACCATCAGTAATCAATGAGTTACTTGAATGATAGCATTAGTTTGGCACATATGTATTCATGTAAAAGTTTCAATATGATCAGTTTCTTTATTTGTCTGTTCAAGATATCCAACTTGGTTAAGCTGTAAATACAAATATTTTGAAGTCAATCTACGTAGTGATTATGTATGTATTATAAAATATAAAAAGGCCTAAATTTCACCAAATCCCGACGAAGCCATGTCCCAGATGCCCTATCAAATTCAATTATAAGCTCAACATCATTTTATGGGTATGTAATGGTCATTACTCACCATGCTTCGGAGACCAATTAGTTGAACTGTTGGTTTATTGATAGCAAACGTACCGGCTGGATTTTTGATTGCTGCGCAATGACCAAACATACTTTGGAGGTAAAGACATCTTCGCTCAGTTTGTTCATACATCAAATCAGCTTTGAGGTGAGGCGATAGGTGATAAGGGTTTTGAATTTGATCGGATGGCTGAAGAGGCAAGAAAGCCTGTACAACGAATATTGGTAAGCTATCACTAACTAGACGAACTATATGTTCAATTGACCCAAAGCCACGCTTCCCATTGATGTGATACTCGATATAGCTGTTACCTAAGTGGCGTGAGCTTATACTATAAGACTTGCCACTATGTCTCCACAAGGATGTTGACATCAAATCAATACTGGCACTGCTGACGCTCGAATTTGATTGTAGAAGCTCCTTGACCGCATGTAGTACATCACCAGGTGGAGAAAACTCCTTCCATCTGGTTGCACTATTTCGTGAGGTGATAGAAAGATTGGCTGTATGTAAAGAAGTATGGTGACTCAGGAGATTTTGAAACAGTCCTCGCTGGGTATGTGCGCGGATCAAAGTCTTACCCAAGATCCCTAGAAAGATGTTATCCATTCGGTGTGAAAAGAGCAGAATTAGTGTCAACAGTGGATCAATTGGAAAGACCAATTAGAAAGACCAAAAACCATACCTGCACAAAAGTTCTTTGGTGTTTGGACAAGTGTACCAATCAGGCGTTCTCCTACCCAAGCAGCAGTGTATGGTGGGGGTCCAAGGCGGCGACACTGATTGGGTAGGTGCTGGGCAAAATGCAGATTGGGTTTAGACTTGATGTTAGGCCATACGGTTTGAAGATGTTGACGGTAGGTTTTAAGTAGCAATCCAAGAGATTGGATATCCTCCTCACTCATGACTCGGGACACAGAAATATTGATAATCTGTGTGGCAAGAAGTATCGCTGTGTGGATCTTCTGAGAATCGGAATTTGGCTCAGCATTTGCATGATACGGTATTAAAGAGAATACCATGTAAACTGTGTACAAAACAAGCCATTGGACAGCTTTTACACTGCCATGCACAGTGGTCCCAAAGAGCGAAGGTACTACAGGAAGCCAGGAGGGGGTTATTGCTTGTTCAATTGATATGTGAATAAGTTTGAGTTCATGCGGAGTGAGAGCTGGGCCATGAGCACCAAGAATGGTACTGGAAGAGCTATCAGAAGCATCTGATCTATTAGTTGTCGTAGGGTGTGAAAGAATAGTTGTAGTGCTGGTCTGAGATTTGGCAGCTCGTGGGTAAGACATCCGTCTATCAGAGCTAGGTTCAGATGATTCATCTTCAGGGCATTCTGTTAGAGCATCGGTGTCTGGCACAAGATGAGGGAGCGCCGATGGTTGGTCTTCAGGATAGATTCCTTCAAGTTTGGCCTTGTCAAGTTGTTTTCGGATGATCTGTCCGGCAGAGGGAATTTGAAGGTATATTGTTGTTCAAAGAAAGTCGTGCTGTACTTAGGATTCGATTTGGCCAAATCAGTTAATGTTTCCGAGGCTTTTACAAGCCTCTTCTCTACATTCGTGGTCCAGGAGAGCATCCCTGACACTGGTTGGTGCGAAAGTGGGAGATCAATTGCTTGCCCTCATGAGAACACAATACAAATTGCCTACTCATTCTGAACAGCGCCTTCTCATTGTGATGGAGGCCACGTTCATTCAGTGATACCAGTCGATTTTGTTTGGTTGCGTATCAAAGCATTGCAACCAATACTCTGATGTCCAACCACACACGCTCACATCCTTCGCCGTCCAAGAGGCCCCAACCCTTGTTGAGCCGGGGGTTGTAGTCTAATTGGCACAGCCAATCAAGCACATAAGCGTGGAAGACACTGGTGCCAAACTTTAGTCGTCCAGCAGCGCGCTCAGCAGCAAATTGTTTTCGCTATGTATGTTGGAGACTTGGTCAGCCCATATACTGTTTTTTTTAGAAACAATGTATCAAATCACATTCCTGACCCCCTTCGCAATGTTACAACCTATATCATAAAGTATGCCAACTCTTCGTTCACCATCCGGATGATCAGAAGTGACTTCCAGGATCCAGTCAATGAGGGCCAGTGCGAAGTGACTCCTGTGTTATCAAAATGTAAAGTTCTGTCAATAGCGTGAACCAACATGAAAAAAAAGATTGATACGGGCTTTTCTCCACTTTGTACCAAGTTCACAAATCTAATGATGTGATCATGGCGACATGCCATGACCACCAATCCTGTCTCATCCATACCTGGGAATGATTTCTTTCCCCTAACATCGTCCGCTGTGGTGTGTTTATCGGTACAAGGATCCTACATAGAAATAGATTGGGTTTACCCTGACCATTGGTATTGAGCCTTTATTAGAAATGATTGATGACTTACCACCAGTTCATCTAGTTGTGGATTGCGCGTGCCACCGCCTGCCATTTCCACTGCCATTTTTTCCACTCGCTCTGGATCCATGAAAAGCTCCTGCGGTTCATGATTATGACCAGGGATTTTGTGGCTAGCAGCTAAGTGACGTTTATGTTGGAAGTTCCCGTCTATACATAATATGATGTGTGGTTTGTCCGGGTTTGGAGTTTTGTCCACTGGCGGACCAAAGCAACGTGGGCAGTTGCTGGCGAGCTGATCGAGTTGTGATAATTGCAGTAATTCAAGCTCTTTCTGTCGAATCAAACTGAGAACTTGTCAATGGGCTCGAACTGCATATGTCAGTGGCTTTCGCCATTGACGTGGCTGAAACATGCACAAGTAAGTGATAATATTGATCAGATTCAAAATGTCAAGTTGGTTGAACAATTCGAAACTTACCTGACCAGTCTTTGTACTCAGCATGAGTGGGTTTTTGGCGTCAAGGTATTCATCAAGAGCCTGTGAGAACCCGAGCATTCGAACACTACAATATTTCCATATAATGTGTTGGAACAGCAGCAGCCGGATTGAAAAAGCTGCGCAAGGAAGAGATGGAGAGGCAGGAAAGTACCCCATCTGAATGAGCCTGACCACGTCCGGAAGGCATTTACAGAAGCTTATAGATAGTTTCCTGCGAGCTACGAATCTTGTTAGTGGGAGTTTTTGTCTTCCTGATAGAGTATATACATACTTACTGTGTATGTCTACTAAGGTTACCACGCGTGAGGACACTGCACAATGACATGGTACTTTAAAATCATGATTCCAAATTACGACATCTCCCCAATTGCTAGTTTTTTTTTGAGCAATGATATATGCATCAACCATTTCCTGAACAGCGCTGGCCCATTTCGCTTTGTATGCAAGCCTTCAGGCTTGGTACAGGTTTGAGTTGAGTTCCAAAATAATTCGTCGCTCCTCTTCAGAAAGTTCATTAAATGGTATTCTTTCATCTTCATCAATATCTTCCCAATGATCATTGTTATGTGTATATCCGGTTTCATTCCTATCATCTATTCCATGTTCTTCAAAGTTGTCAACATTGTCTTCGTGAGGTGCTGCTGATCCATCTGTCCCGATGCCCAAAGCCTGAGTATCCGAAGTTTGTGTACGCACTTTGTTCATTTCCTTGGCATCTTTATCCTCTTGCTTCCAAAAGGTGGCCTGCAGGTCAGTGGCTGGCCGCTTCCGCTTGTTGAGAGGTTTGTAAGGTGTTGGTTTTGGAGCCATGATTGAAATATGGGGAAAATGTAATGCAAGAAGGTGAAAGATTAACTGTGCCAAATGAAAAAGTTTATTTCTGTTTAAATCTGTCAAGTCACAGATGAATTAGGTTTGCACCTACAGATCTGTATGCTTACAGGTGTCTTAATCTTTTCAAATATTAGCCTCCTTGGAATGGAAAATCACAGCTGTGAATTGGTTTGTTTTACTGAATCAAATTGGAAATCACCTATTCATGAATTTGTCGTACTGCGCTTCTTTATTTTGTGAGACTCACTCTGCACGTTACTAGCTACCGACTGCTGTGAATTGGTTTGTCTTACTGAATCATTTCATTTTAGTTGATTCACTTCACTTGATTCATTCTACTTCTGAATTAAAGTTGAGAATATGATGTCAAATGTCAAACTCTGACCTGTGATTGAACAATCTCAATGTGTGTTTCCCAGGAATTACAAACATTTTGTCTCATTCATGAAATAATGAGGCAGACTTGTTTCTCAATGTGTGTTTCCCAGGAATTACAAACATTTTGTCTCGTTCATGAAATAACAATCACGAAATAATGAGGCAGACTTTTTCATTGCATCAATACAACTTGTTTCATTTCACTTATCAATACATAAAGCGAGCATTTGGACATGAGCATAACTCGGTAGGTTATATTTAGCAACATATATGAGAATCTACGCATCATTTGTGTTTCTTTGCACTGGGAGTGCTGCAGGTTCTAGAAATTTGAGTTCTTTTGACACCACTCTGCGCTGCGACTCCTGTAACTAGATAGACTTTACTACGGGTTCGACGGGGTGATACACTTGCAGTTTTCTTGATAGTGGATCTGGTGGTTCTGGCCTGTGGTATTGGAACTTGCAATGTATCGCAAACCGGGTGGGGTGGAATTGGAACTTTGTTGAATGATGAGCTGGGTAGCGTGCTGGGGACAGAGGCCTCCTGATCAATGTTTCTTGCATGGTCATGAGAGGAAGGTTCATGATGTTTGGCAGCACTATTAACATCGATTTCAGGTGTCGCATCAAGAACCTGGCAATTGGTCTGAACGCTTGGTTGTAGAGAAAGTTGGAGGAGATCTTCAAGAAGAAAAGAGTCTATTGAATCAAAGGAGGGCTGATCATTCATAAGTGGCTGGTCGTTCATAACTGTGATGTTGAAAGCATCAATATCAATACTGCTGGGCCAAGTAGGAGATTTTTCTGGTTCCTGGCGATACATAATACTGGTAATGTTATCTTTAACATGCAAGGGAGATTGAAATTGAATGAGTTTGTTGAATTGTTCTAAGTCGTCTAAAAGTTGTATAGCAGCGTCCTGTTTTTATTCAAAGTTTGGTTTTGGTTAGTGGATAAAAATCAAATGCTGACTAGGCTGATGAAGCAGACTTACTTGATGGGGGTCAGGAAGATTGGTGGGAATCTTATCTTCAGGTACATTACATACCGCATCAAGTAGTTTGTGGATTGATTGTATAATCTCATCTTCTTGAGAGGCCGTCATTGATAGGATACGGTTACTGATTGATAGCAGTTGTGATTGAAGGCTAGTGTCTAGAAGTACATTAGTCGGTTTGTGACTCGGATCTAGATCAAGTGTTTGCTCTGCCTTTGGAAACTGAAGACGAGTTGTCAGCTCACCCAAAATGTACAGTATTAAAAAAGTACTGGACTCACAGAGGTTGGTGCAATTCTGGATGTGATGTCTGGAATTTCCATTTCCATTGGCCCATGATTGTGATATGTGTTCTGGTGATGGAGAGTCCAGGTGTGTCGTTCTTTGTGGAAAGTAGCTTTCATCTTGAAGGGGCATCCGATCTTGATTGATCTGGTCTTCTTCAGTGGATCACACTCGTTCAAATCAGTTTGGCCCTTTCACTTGGCAGGTTTTCCTCCACAATGGCAGTCGTATTTGCAGTAGAGGTACGGATCTCGTCCAGAGTGACCGACAATGATAGCGTACCCTTGATGTGGGGCAAACTCTTTGACAAGGTTGTCAAGTTGTTTGTGATGTTCAAAAGGCTCAGTGACCATTGGATTAGGATCGGGCAGAGTCGATATGGGTGTTGGTGGTAGCATTAGAGAAGAAGGTGTGTTGCTGGTAGTTGGTGCTTGCATGGAAACGACTGGTTTGGGTGGATTGTGAAAGGGTGATGTGTGTTAATAGGGGGCTGGACAAGGAAACGGTCGTGAGAAGAAGGAAACAGTGTGAGGGGGTACAGTGGCCGGGGCCGGGTAAAAGTGGTGCGCTGGTGGGGTTGTGGTTGGGTTTTGGTGGGCTTCTCACCTGTGGTGGACTTACTGGTGAACGGGTAAGCCTGGTAGAGTTGTGGTGAGCCTGGTGGGAGGTGGTGAGGTTGAGCTACTTGGACTATTGACGGACTTTGAGGAAAAAAATCCCAAAAAGTTCTAACTTGAGATCTAAAACTAGATCTAAGGGCAGAAACGGAACGTATCCAGTGATAGGACTTTCTCCACCACTGGATACTATTGGCCAAAAGTAAAAGGCCAGAGTAGTTTTCTCATATGCACTGTTTTTGAATTGCGTACTCAAGCACAGACTCAAATTGCATTTCTTGCACTCTTATCAATTTTGCACAATAACTGCTCACAACTGATCATGGCTGTCATGATGTTGATGCACAAACACCAAGCTACTCCCAGTTATATACTCCTTTGTTTAATTTTTATGACAATCAATCTAACAATGACAACCAGTGTCATACTGTATTGATATAAAAACAATTTCTCAAAAATACTCCTTCTAGAGTGAGTTATGGGTTGAAGTGACACCAGATGCCAATATAAGTTGTGAGCATTGCCACCAATTCCCGGCGGGCTTCCATCCACGGACACCAATGATCACGTGAATGCCGGAAGCTGGTTACAAAGGTTTCAGATTTAGAAAAATTGCAGAATGTAAGCAAGATAGGCCGTGTCACGTGTGAGTTACATTGACAGTACAATTCATTTATCCACTATATGATCTGTAACAGTTCCGAAATCTGTGGGTGTTGGTATAACCGGGTTCTTGATAATCACAAGGTATTGGGCGGATGGGCCACCCCGCAGTCAAGCTGGAAACGGTACTGGAACATGCAAATCTCTGGGTTAATTCTACATGTCATTTACTGTCATTTCAAAAGAACTTATGCATCAAGTACAGTCTGATTACACAGAGGATTTCAATAAGCCAGATGCCATGCCATGCATTTCTTTCATACCTTAATGAACTGTGTATATTATGAGAGATGATATGCAATTTCCATAATTGAATCATATCTATTGGATAAAGGAAGGTTATCAATGAAATCTCAACTTGATGCATTTTCAATGTGAAGAAAGAGAAATGAGGTTCAACTTAAAACAGAAGCAGGATGCTGCAGAGCAATTGTAATCAAATTTGGAATGGACAATGTGGCGGTTAGGAAACAAATTCATGTTGTGGGCGCGTCCTTCTTGAAACGGGTGCGTGCGGGTGCAAAGAATCTCCATTGGACTGGCGCGGGAGCCACTGGGGCGTGTCAGGTTCTCCCTTTGCCCCCCAAAAAGCAGAAAAAAAGTAAAAATTCTTCTACGTTGGCAGAGGCCAGTATCACAGTGCCAGCAGATACATAGTTGCCATTGAAAGAATTCTAGTTATTGATTGCAAGGTAGATTGCAAGAGATAACACGGTCAAAGGAAGTTGACTGCAACTCTATATGCATGAGAATCTTACAGAGAGTTGCTTACATCTTTTGGACAAGACTCTGTCTGTCAAGTGACAACAGTTCCAAGTGAGGTAGACTGTTGGACCAATATTTCAATACCAAGATGAAGGACACTCCTCAGAGTCCTCCCCAGGCATTTCTGATGGAGATGGGTGGCTGAATTGACAAAAACCCATGGAAAAACTATGGGGCGTGCCCCTACACATTATAAAGCTTTGGGGTGCTCCAAGGCGCGACTTTTTGTGCTTTTTGTGCCGCGCCCACAACATGAAAACCAATGTATACAACACTTTACAACATGTTAGCAAACCAATCTAAGAGGATCCAATATCTGTATCAAAACTCCAAAGTTCATCCACAATCCCCCACTCACTTCCTCTTCATTCCTCTCTTTGATTATGACATCTCATCATCACACTACCAATACTGGATTCTCATGTATCAAAATCACCTATGATACCACTTGTATATCCTTATCATTTTCACATCTCCCCCTTTTGTTAATCCAATGTAGAAACTTATTGAACACTTCTGCACTCATACATATTACAATTTCACCTATTTATACATATGGAGACTTACGGATGCGTGTGTGATCTGTATAATGTGGCAAATCAAGTTCACAGTAGAATGCCCACAACTTGATGCCCACAACATTGATAGCCTCAAGTGCAAGAGTTGCCAATAGGTGGATATTAGACACTTTTCCAGCATTGAGAACAAATCAAACTTATAAGAATGCGATAAGATCTATGGATCAAATGGGTCAGGTAATGTAAACACAGCAAAACTGTGTAAAGGTTTTTTTGAAGAACTCAACCATTCAATACAAAGCATGATACATTTTGTATTCATTTGTAGACTTCAAAAGTGGTCTAGAAGAAGAAGGTTTTGGATGCCCTAACCTTTTCTTTCAAATCTTATTGAAAAACAAAAACATGGTCATAATGCATACTGATTCAATGGTGTTGGGCTTCATCTTAATGACCCACTTTACTTGCTGGGTGTAAATTGTTCAAAATGAAGTAAATCAACAGTCAGCGTCTAAATAAGATAAGAAACATTATTGATTGTTCATTGTCATTAAGTTGGATGATTTTTTTTGAAGTGTAATTGCAGCCTAAATGAACTGTACATAAAGTCCCTTTGAAACAATGAGGATTTGTATTTGATGAATGATTGTTAGGATGAGAAAGGAATGATCCTGGTCTAGAAATCTTCTTCTAATGGAGGTGTGATTAATAACATATGACTGAGAAAACATTAATGCAAAAGCATGAATTTATCTTTAAATGATGTTCTTAATTGAATTCAACTTTCAGCTTGAAGATCTAAGTTGAATCACCAGTGTGATACAATGAGAGTATTCATTTGATAAGTCACAATCTATGATCTTCTCCTTGTTATCAAGCCTCTTTGGGTCGTTTGTTGCCTTTGTCCCTGACTTGCTTTCCGATTTCTTGCTTTCTTCTGCTTGTTCATGCGCTTCAGGGATAAGTTTGTCAAGATAGGTGTTCAAGGGTCAACTTGGCTTCCCTAGGCCTCTTCAAAGTCCATGAACAGTTTCTTGACCCCTTTCTCCCATTCGACTTTGCTTCAAATCCGAATTGTAAAGCCAAAAACGTCAAGTCAGGCACCATGGTAGCATCTTTGATCTCAGCAGAGGCACTGGTTGTTTCCTCCTGGGTAGTCAAGATCAATTTTTGGGTGAGCTCTTCCAGAGGAGCTGCATTGTTTGCTGGAGATCGCGTCAAGCGTTTTAGGAGTTGCTCCGGTTTCGAGTAGTCCCGCTTGAGCAGATTCATCCGTTTGATTTGAATTTGGGGTTGAACCTCACCGTTTTGAAGATTTCCTGACCAATTCAATTTGTTATCCTCCTTAGATAACAGGACTTTGCCTTTTTTGCCAGTAAAGTCTGCTCAGCTTTTAACTCGTTTTCACGACGCCGAACCTTGTTACACTGCAGACGCTTACGATCTCTCATTTCCCCTTGTTAATGGCGGCCAAGCTTGAGAAGGGGATCTTTCATGGGTGCAAGGGGACTGTGACCACCACTACTGCCACTCGATGAAAATGTGTCTGCTTTGGAACTTGTAGCAATAGCACTTTCAGTGATTTTTTTTGATGGGTGGTGATTTGAAATTGTTGTCCTTGGCTGACAATGAATCTGCCAGACTTTGAAATTGAGGCATGGTGAGAGAAACGTCTGGAGCAAACTTTATGAGTTGTGAGAACATCAGTAATCAGTTCTGAGGCAGTTCAGGTATTTGGGCTTTAGAAATATACTCACGCAAGTTCGTTCTTTAAGCGTTTCACTTTGGGAGTAATCCGATTTGATCAAATTTGAATTCAAATTTTGATAAAAGCAAAGCATTAAATTGACCACTTCTGATCTTTCCATGTTCTAAAACAATTGATAATCGAACTTGACCCTGTAACAAACAATTCATCAACAATTGTAAAATACTTTCCACATTCAATTCGGGCCAGGATTCCATTTCACTACACCAAATGTAATCTTTACCGGGCGGTAAAGAAAACTACTGACATAGAAAAGTCCTGAGGCAACGTGAAGAGAGCTAAAAATCTGAAAAAATATGCACCTTGTTCCTAGATGTTGGGGCGTCATGATGAGTATTTTTTTGTATTTTACACGCAGATATTGGTTTATGTACTAACAATAAACGCTGAAAATCATCAAAAACTCACATGTAACAATACCTGGAATTTGGGTCAAGAGTATGAAGACAATATTTTGTGGTCTAAAAACTTCAATAACTTTTGCAATTCTGCTCCAAAAAACTCAATTTTTGATTCATTCAAAAGCTGAACTATTCTCCTTCACACTTCATAATGGTAGTACGGAATGCGAGGTGTGTCAAAGTGACAAATCAAATTTCAAAAAGCGAAATTTCAGAATCCCCGGGTCAGAAATTGACAAAACTGGATTAAACATCAGATTCAACCCAAATACTGGTCTGAAACCGCCTGTATTGGGGATGAAACCATACTTTCTGCCAGTTCTTACCGGTTCCCAAACCACAACCCTTAATTTGACCGCTGAGTTGGCACTTTGACACAAATGATACACAAAAATTTCAAAAATCAAATTTCAACACTACAAAATTCACATACACGCAAAACAACTAAACACAAAAGTGATTCTGTACCATAACACCTTTGCACATCCACACAAGACAAGTTTACTGATAGCATATTATCATGGAATGGACCCGCTAGCCTGCTGGGTGATGTATTACGTCAGTTGATTGACTGCAGCTGCAGACTGGCGGAGTGGGTGGTCACAGGCCCTGGCCACTGCACCCTTATGGTCAAACTTTAAAAGGTAGACTACCTAGCCTTAGGTGGTCCATCTTTCCAGTCGATCAACTGAAGAAATCTTCAGCTTTAGATCTGGCCACCGCCAGTTTATGGTCAAACTTTAATAGACAGACCACCTAGCCTTAGGTGGTCCGCCTCTCCAGTCGATCGACTGGAGCCACAGATTGCCCCAGCCAATCAACTGGCCTCACCTGGAGCTCCAGTCAATCGACTGGAGCCACAGATTGCCCCAGCCAATCAAACGCTATCACCTCCAGCTCCAGTCGATCGACTGGAGCAGTCCCTCTATCGAGCCAATCAAAACGACGGAAGAAATGTGACGGATTAAATGAGA